ATATATATATATATATATATATACATATATAAACATACACTAAAGAAAAAATACAGACATCTAAGAACTATAAAATAAATTGTCTTTATGTTGAATATCATTGTACAGTTTGAGATTTCTAAATATGAATCCGATTTATTTTATCCATTTAAATGCTGAAAGCTGGCAAACTATTGGAAACTAATAGACCTAAAATTGTTATGAAAATGCAGTTAAACACTGATGTATTTTTTTCTATAGTCCGTCCTTTTAATTGGTTTTTTGCGGCTCATAATATAACATTTCAGATTTATTTTTTATCTTCAACAAATTATTACCCAAGAAGCTTTTCATTCAGTATCAGAACTCTTCAGTTAGACTGGATGATGATAGACACAAGACTGTATGAAATACTATTTATATATGCAGTATAATTCTTTACAGTTTAGTCATCAAATGCTGCCAAGCTATTGAAAAACAATAGACCTAAAAGTTGTCATAAAAATCAAGTTATCTACATTTTTTTCTTCTCCACATTTCTCTTAGTTTGTCTATTGAGACTCAAAACCAGAGATGTGTAAAAATACCATTTCAGATCTGTCTTAGACAGCAACTTGTAGGAGACAAATTAAGAGTAATGTGTACAAAAACATTTTATAACTTCTTTAATAAATTAAGCTTGCATTTTGGGGGTAGCATAGTTATTGATATAGACAACTATTTGTCTTAAGCTGATGGTAAAACTTTCATTGAAAAATCAAACAATGGTAAAGATTTCAGTTGGAAGTTTTGATTTTATTTATTATAGTTTTAGTTCCTTGTACCTCTTAAGTAATGGTTATAAGAGTTGTAAGAAAGCGATTGCTTTTAACATAATGCTTCACGGAAATCACAAGGTAAACAATAGATCAAAAAAGATGTTTATTGACACTAAAATTGTTTACTCAAAAATGAGTTAATTGTATTGCATTCTATAAGAATTGGGAGTTGCTACTAGAAATTTATTGTTAGAAAAAATTCATAAGACCTTTGTTTACATTTCATGTACCATTGTAATGTTGTGTCGCAGAAAAGTTTCATTTGTACTTTATAATTACATATCTATATAGAACATATTGAACATAGTCTTGTAAAAGAAATCCTCTTTGCTAAGCCTAAATTGTCATTTAACATGTGATCAAAATTAGGTTTCATTCCCAATTTGTAAACAAATTGCAAGTTTGATACCCCCTTTTCATTTAAATGTTTCTTATGTAATTTAAAACATCTTGATACATATTTTTGTATCCAGCAGGTAAACTAAAGTATAATTTATTTTTCTTATTAAGATTTTTATGATGGTACTGGTTAGAATGAGATACAAGTAATACTATAGGAAACTTGTTTTAGTTATTTTGTAAAAACCGTCTGTCTGAACATTTTAGAGTGAATTCTACTGGTTCTTTTTTAACTACTTTTAATTCCTATTTTATGCATGACTGTTCTTGAATTGGTTTATACTCATAGGAAAAATGTTTTTCTTTAAATTGTCGAGAAAGGAGGAATTATAACAGTCTTGACCATTTGTTAACCTTAAGATTTATCATCTAAACAAAATGATAAAAATGACTTATAATGGCCTAAGATTGAAATATATATAAATATCAACATTTTTATTCCAGTAAAATGAATACAAGATTGAAAATAAGCTTACAGTTTCTCATATCATTTTATAGTACCTTGTGAGCAGTTTGTCTATTACACTTTTACCAAACCAACGTAAATGTAAACTTTCCTTATCTTTTACAAACAGTCTAATGTTGTAAGCAACAGTGTATAAAAATCATTTACTTTGTTCAATCAAGCTAGCAATCTGTACTTGTTGTTATGTAGGACATAACTGTGACATCTTTAAAATTGTTGCTGTGATTTAGTTAAGAATTAATTTTAGTTGTTTTAAAAATTGATAGATATTTCTCATTAAACATAACATTTTTTCAAAGAATTGTTACATTTTGTTTCTTCTTACAATGCAAAGCCTAGGACTACTTTGATATTTTAAAAACTTAATGAATGAACAATGAACACCCTTATGTGTCTAACACAAAATTACAATGACTCCAAAATGTAATGTAAAATCCACAACAATTGTGTATCTAAAATTTCATACTTTTTCAATATATCTTCTCTTTAAAAAAGTTTCTTTTGGAGCTACTGCTTTAGAGAACATTGAATATCATGGAAATCTTGGAACATTTTTCAGGAACATAAATTACGTATTCTCACCTTGGTGGCAGGAGGTTCTAATATTATTTTTTGTTTCAGATTTTACTTTATTATAGCAAACACGCTCATTTATTTTACACTAGTGTGGTAATTTAAAGGCATCTGTTTTTTTCTTCATGATGTGAAAGTCAATGTGACAAATTTTGGTGTGATTGTAATTTTGTGTTAGACACAAGCATGTTCATTGTTCATTCATTACGTTTTTACAAGATCATAGAGATTACCCAGTATTTTAAAAAATGTATTCGCATAGCATACTCAGTGTGTAAAATTAGGTAAAAATCACTTATTTGTCTCATGTTTAAACCTTTATTGCTGTTCTTTATGAAGTTGTACTCCTTGAATAGTTTCATTTGAGTTTACTTGTTGATTTTTTTTTGTAAGTTACGTGTACCTGTTTAAAAGATAATCTTTCTTATTTTAAAAACTTTAACTTGTAAAAATAATACATAAATAACTAATTGTACTCCTTGTTTATCAGTTGACCAGAACCAAACATTACCAGACAAAACTAATGAACATCAAGAAAGAAATGACAGTTCTCTATGACAGGTCAGCAAAATTAAAGGTAAGTATTTGTTTTTTAAATTTAAAAAAAAGTATTTTAAAAGACACGTTTGTTTTGTGGCCAAAGACAAGAGCTAAATCATGTCACCAGATTGAAATCTTTACTGCGAGTATGAAGGGGGGCTAAAAAGGACAGTGTATTATGACTAGATCAACCAAGTGAACAAAGTATACAAAATAGAATATAGATATTAGTAAAATAAGGAAATACCTCATTATAAAACTATTTATGAGCATGAATAAAAACAAGGAACTCACTACAAGCTTTTGAATGTTATATTTCAGACAAAAATGTTGGATAACCAATTCTTTTCTGGAATAACAACCATTAACCATCTGTTCACAGGCTGAATAACATTGATTGACCCCATATCTGTGAAACTACGTAATTATAATTCTAGATTTACTGTGTTTATCATCACAAAATTTGGAAAGCTTTTGTTAAACATTGCAAATCTGTTATATGTAAACAGAAATTTTATATTTTTACAAAACATTTGTCTGTGAATTTCCAGACCCTTTATTGTGTAGTCTGAGTGAAAGGTGATTTTTATGCCAAAAATAAAAATACATTTTTCATCTTACAGTTATAATATTTCATTTGCTTAATTTCTAGAGACTCCTAAAGGAAAATCAAAATTTTTATCCTGATAAAACTTAATAATTAATCTCTATTTTCTCGACTCTACCACTAACTGAAACAAAGCTGTGAATGTACAGGGAAATGTAAACTTGGGAAGTATAAAATGAATAAGACTGTTTTTTCCTCTCTAGCGACTTTAATATTGATCAGAAAGAACTAAATTAAATACATTAACTGCTTCAATTTCTAACTTTTTGACATATGCTTTCTTTGAATTTTTGTTTTTTTGTTTTATTGATATACTTTGGACCAACTGCTATTGGATTACTGGGTGTTAAAAGCAATGAATTACATTGGAAGCCATTATGTGTTGTATTGCTAACGTAAAAACAAGTGACTGTGAGGTGTGATGTTACACGTGTTTGAACATATTTTTTAGTATGTAGAGAACTTTACAATTTTTGCATTTTATTTACTTTTGTTAAAAATGTTTTTGTTGAGTCTCACAGATTTGGGTGTTCAAAAATAATTCACATAGCTCTCAAATGTGCATTTTTAAACCTTTAATGATATGTCAGTCCCTATAATACGTTGTTCCAAAACTAATATAATTAACCCAGCTTTTTAATTAAGCTAAAAATAGGCTAGAAAATTCCTTAAGTGCTTGAAACAACAAAATTTATTCTCCACAGTCAAACAATCCCACTTTCTGTCATTTTACAGCAAGAAACGAAAGGATGATTTTAAGATTTACATAGAGGAGAATCTGCTTTACCTAATTGTTATAAATATGTTCATTAGCCATGAAGTGTATTAGCTAACAATACAGAAAATTGAAGGGTGGGTTTGACAAATTTATTGATATCTTGGCAGATCAGGAAGGTAGGAGCTCCACATTTTAGATCCTTGCTTTTAAGTATGTATAACTTTTGTTTGTAATTAGTTAGAAACTAAAGATTATTATTGAAGTCAGAAAATTCTGAAGTTTATAAATAGGAGCTCAGACACATCAAGTGACAGAAAATGAGTATTGGGAATTTCTTAAACATTTTTTTGAAATTATGGGTTTAAAACTTAGATAATTTCAAACTTTTGAATAATAAACTGTGTTTTCTTTCCAATTCTATTAAGATACATTGATAATAAAGTCATTTAATAAAATTTTTAATGTCGCACTAAAAGGTTGTGACAGGCTTGGATACAAATGGCTAATAGCTTGAGTTCTTCAGCTAAATGTAGGATCAGTTGTCTCAGTCTAAAATACATTCAACAACTATAAGTTTATACACGGGATATTGAGGGTTCATAGCCAGAAAGTTATATATCTATGTTTAATTCATGATTTTCACTTAGACCAAGAAAATTTATAAAACTTATTTCAACCCCATACATATGTTTTCCTTGAAGTATAGCAGATGTAAATAGATACAGGCCATTCTGTCCAAATGTTCTTATAAAATATAAAAAGCATGATGGTTTTCTAAAACCTTAATATACAAGGTGATGATTGGGCATATAATTTTAAATACTTTAAGTCATTTGTGGATACCCCTTTTGTGCTTTCATTTTATCTAAATCTTGTCTATTATCTCTTTCACATGTTTCATGTTAAATATTAATCCATTGTATGTTTTCTTTCTCTTGGTAATATTAACCTTTGAATCTGTAATAGGAGTAAAACATTTGAGTTGGTGTTTCAGCTAGAGTGTTCTAAAAGTATTCATCATCCAACTAGTATTTTCAGTAAGAGCCTTGTCCTATGTTGGAAGCACTAGAAATAAAGTTAGAAGAGACCTATAAAATCTGATTAAGAAAAATGCACAACTTAGCTAAACAAAATATTGAAACTAATGAAGATTTGATAGTAATGTGGAATGATATAAAGAATTCTTTATGCATACATCTTTGTTATTTTTCGTTTTGATTTCTTTATAGAAACAAGCACTCAGGCTTCAAGAACAGAAACAGAAAGAGGCACTGCAGCGTGAGCAGCTTCGGGAAGAAGAACTGGAACGAGAACGACAGCTCACTGCTAAAGTAGCAAGTAAATCATGATGACTTGTTTTGTGGTCGTAGAATTAAAATGTCAAATGAAGTAAATTTGGTTGCACAGAATGTTTCCTCATTGGTGCATGAGAAATGACTGTGAATCAGTGTACTTTTTGATTATCCATTTATCAAAAAGGATGGGCAATTAGAAGGACTTGGTTTTTTAGATTATGTAGTAGGTAAAAAAGTAAACGAAAACATATTTTATAATTTAAATAGGTTTTATTTAATAACCTTCAACAACTATTGTCTAATTTCCTGAGTGAAGTTAATGTTCAACCATATGACAGAGGTTCCAATGAATTATTAAACCATGTGAGTTTCTAGATACAACCACAGTCACCTGCTGCAAAAAGTATGAAGATTACAATATGAACCATATTACTAGAAATGAGGAACTAATGTAATTACATGTAAATATTATGTTGAAAGTCATTTCATTAGTATGGAAAGTGTGGTGTGTATATATTTTACACAGTGCTACCAACACATGATTAGGTATGGTTATTAACTTTGTAAAATATTGAAAC